AGCCTGCCCAGGGTGGACTTGCAAGGATGGTCTGGGGGCAAATGGGTCTCAGCCACAGCTCTGTTCTCCTCACTACCAACTCCTTCATCCTCCATCATTAGAACTAGACTGAGGAATGTTTGTTCTACACAGAGGTACAGGGTTAACATTCTCCCCTCTGGGTCCTTTTAACTAGCGTCCTCCTGGGTCTGAAAGGGAGACCAGAGCCCCACAGTTAATTGCTGACATGGGCAAAGAAACTTGGATCATTTCCAGCTGATGTTTTAGCCTGATAATTTGCCTTTAACACACACACTCTCACACACATACACACATACACACATCAAAATATCAACCAATTATGGGGTAGATTCACAACTGCGACTCTAAAGCTCCTGCAAACACGATTACCAAAGAGCCCGTCCATTCCTTCAACCTACAGCATCTGTCTCATCCAGCCAAAATTGAACGCAGATTTCGGCATCCCAAAGAGAATGTCAGCGGGTCTGTCCAGCCCTACTAGGGAGCCCGCCAAGGAGCAATTGCTGGCTTTATTTGCTAGGAGAACTCAAGCGCTCTTGATAAAATGGCTTGGTTCTGATAAATGCAGATTTTTTTCATCAGAGACAAAGGAGCCCTTGAGTTCAGCATGTAACCTAAAACATCACATTGCTGAAAAGTATTTCCTGATAATATTTTTAGCACCTGAAAGGGAAAAAAAAGGGTTTTTTTTCTCCTTTGCCCTCAGGGAGTTTTTCAAAATGAAATGTAATGCCCAGTGTGTGGGCTCCCTGTTAACCCCCTGTGTTCCAGAACAGAGTAAAAAACCCACAGTGAGCTACCTGGAAGGAGCAACTGGACATTTCCAAAACTGACCGTGGGCCTGGTTTCTAATAACAATTCTAACAGCTGGCACTGATCTGGAAGCAGAATGTTTGCAAAGCGCTTTACAATGCTATCTCATCTAAGCCCTTAATGACTCTATGATGGAGGCTGCAAGTATTAATGATTTTCTTCTACTTATGGCAGAGGAAATTGAGGCCCAAAGAGCCTTTAAGTGACTGGCCAACTGTGGCTTAGCTACTAAGTGTCAAGGGTCAGATTTGAAGATAGGTCTTCAGGATTCCAGAGCTTTATCTGTTAGGCCAAGCTGCCTCCCCACAAGTTGAAAGAAGGAAGGGAGGGAGGAAGGAAGGAAGGGAGGGAGGAAGGAAGGAAGGGAGGAAGGGAGGAAGGAAAGAGGGAAGGAGGGAAGGAAGGAAAGGAGGGAGGGAAGGGAATGAAAGAAGGAAAGGAAATAATGAAAGACAAAAAGCAGTGAGAGAAAAAGAAGAAGAAAAACTATGGGGAGGGAGGACGAGCAGACAGTTTTGAAAAGTTGGAACTAGTTTATTTTTTATTTCTGTCAGAGCTGAGGAGGACCAGAGGAGAAACATGGAATAGTTAATGCTGCAATGCTGTAGAAAACATGAATACTGAGTCCAAAGGGACAAGGCACAATGAATTCTCACAGATGGAAGTGAAGCATCTTCCTGGCCCTGGCTCACCACAGAAAGGAACTGAGGTTACACTGAGGTCAGGGGAAGGTGTGTGCCATATTTCCCCTCTGCTGCAGGACAGTTTGAGCTGCAGGTCAGCACACAATGCAGGCCAGATGGTGGCTTTTCAGCATTTTTTCCCACTTTGATTGTCTGATTATTTGATTGCACCAGGGCTTCCGGTGACAACAGAATGTGTGGAAGATAGAAGAGACCTTATCAGTCATTCTGTCCAACTCGTTCACTTCCCAGAGGAGCAAACTGAGACCCAAACAGAGAAAACTTGACCACAGTCACAGTGAGAGGAAAGAATGAGGACTTGGCACCTGGCACCAGGGTGAGACCCAACATTTCTCCACCAGAAGCATTCAAAAAGGTTTAGCGGACACTACACGGACCACGACGTGGTATACTGAGCGGCTGATTTTCTAGCAGCCAGGAGTTCTAAGTCCCAACTAGCCATCAACTGCGCAAAGAGCCCTCATCTGAAAATCAATCCCCAGCAGTGCCTTCTGCTCACTACCTGGGAGGCCTGCTGCTTGGTCTCTCCGGAGACACTTGAATGAGCTTGAATAAAGGCACACTGGAGGGGAGGCACAGACCTGGTTTTGAGTCCAGGCTCCACCACTAACCTCCTCTGACTTTGGGAGAGACTCTCTGGACCACCTCAGTTTCCTCATCTGTAAAACAAAGGGGCTGGAGGAGATGCCCGCTAAGGTCACCTCTAAATCTACAATCCTAGTCTTTCCTTAATAACAAAGTAAAGGAGCAGACCTTGACCCCAGGTCTCCAGTCCAGCCTCACTCAGCCATCCCTGTCTACAGAAATGTTCTTCAGTACCAGCCATCACAGATGCTCCTGGGACCTTTATTCCTAGCTTGCCTGCTCACCGAGAGCCCATCTTGAGTTTGAAAAACTGCTTCCTTCTCTTTCAGGGCTGAGTGAGTGAGCTCTCCTCCCAGGAGGCAGCAGAAGGCCTAACGACCCTTTGCGCTCAATCCTCGCTCTCTCTCACAGCTGTCGGATTCTCTGCACAATCTCAGCTTCCGGACAGAAATCTTGCAAGCCTCTTCTGTCGAGCTGGATCCCAGCCATAGGTGTCCCCCAACCTCGGAATCCTCAACAGGCCCCAGCCCACATTCCCAGAGGGCTCTTTTTGAGGTCATATCCCTAGGATCTGTCTATGCAGGTAGCAAGGAAAAGAAGCCAACTCAGACACAAACATTCACTCATTGCAGCTGGGAACCAGCTCTCCCCACAGGGCCTAGGAAAGGGTTAAATGCACTGCCAAGATTTCAGTGTGTAATGTTGTTGTTGGGGTTTTTTTCCCCCAAGAGCTTCCTGCAGCAGACCAGTGTTAAGTTGTGAGAATCTGTCCCCAGCTCAGGGTCTAAAATTAGATTTTGCCTCCTTAACCTCTTCATTACCAAATAATGGGAGGCAAAATTTCCTCATCTCTCCCAAATCTAGCCTCTGGAGTGATAGGACCTTCGCCTGGGGGCTGCTGTCACATTCCCCACCTTTGTGACCCATGGGGACAGCCCTCCCAGGGTAGATTAGCACCGGCCACGACCCTTGGTGAGCACATCAGAGCTGTGATCACAAAAGACCTGACTGACAGGCCTAGTCCTGCCATTCTTGGCTACTTGCATGAGCTTTCGAGCCTCAGTATCCTCATCTGTAAAATGAAGGCATTAGACCCTTCCAGCCCTAAATGCTACTTCCTTCCTTTTCTGAATTATGATTCCCACTATTAGGACCTGACACATTGTGTGCCAGGAGAGGTGCTGGGAACATGAAAATGAGGCCATTCCTGCCTCTGTTCTCTTCGGGGAGATAACAGGTACCTGTAGAATCATGGGGTGCTTCAGCGATGGCAGTTATTAGTGTGACTAGAAATCCTTCAAACCAACTGGCAGCGTTAGCAGCTAACTCAACATAGGATGTTCACTCTCTGGAGGTGAATGGTGGGTCCCTAGGGGAGCATCTGTCTCCTTGAGCTAAGTTCCATTTCATAACCATCTCCCTCGGGCAACAAGGGTGTCATCTTCCATCTAATTCTCTTGTGCCTCTTTTCCTGAACTCGGTGACAAAGATACCTCTTCCTCATTCCAAACCTTTGCCTCAGTGGACTGGTGTCCCATGTACTGTTTTATTGAACTGTGGAGACACATTTATTCTAAATGCAAAGCCCTCTAATCCCATCAAGCTGATCTGAAGAATCAAACTGTAAATGAAAATGACAAAACCACCCCCTGTGAGGTTGAGTGGGTTTCAACGTTTGCCCCACTCTCCAGAAGTTATACTTCCAATCAGCAATTTCCTCTGTCTGGCAATTCTGCAAGTATCAGCTAAGGAATCATTAATAGATAATTAGGAAATGAAAAGCAAAGCTCATTTGGCCAAGGAAGAAGTCATCTCTAATCCACCCTCCTCTTCCTCCAAACCAACTTCTCTTCATAATTCCTGGACTCTAGGGCAAAGCATGCAACGCCCTCCCCCCCTTAAAAGCAGCCTGGATGAGGTGCCAATGTGCCTGATTCTGTCTGGGGACAAGTCAAGGTGCTTGTAAAGCTGTGAAATCATTCTTCAGAGAGCAGTGCCTTACAGGGCATCCAGGAAGCACCATCCTCCTTCCCCACCTGACCAAGGCCTGGGTGTTAGCACGAGTGCATGCACACATAGACACACACATACACCCCACCTACCACCACCACCACCACCACCACCACTGCCACCACCAGCAGCAGCATATGCAGCCTCATAGCTCCTCAAAGACTGAGAGCTGCAGGTCTAACCCTCAAGTCTCTTACAAGTGGCTCAGGAAAAGCTCCTGGAAAACCCTTATCTAGCAAGTACCCAAGAACCCAGGGAGGTCTAGTTGAATTAGGGGTGCCACCTCCTCTCTCCTTCCTTGGACATGGGGCCTGGGAACTCTGCAGCAACTGGATCAGCCCCTTCTCCGGTGCCACCTGGCTGCAGCCACCCAAGACAGCGAATCCCCCAGGCCACCCCTGCATGTTCTGGGCCAAGAGAAGCCTTGGCCTGGGAAAAGAAAAAAAGCAAAGGGATGGATTCCCTGCACCCTTCTCATCCCCCTTCTCCTCCTCCTCCTCCTCCTCCCCCTCCCCTTCCTTCCTCTCTCCTCCCCCTTCTTCCTCCTTCTCCCCTCCTCCCTCTCCCCCTCCCTCATTCTCCCCTTCCTCCTCCTCCTTCTTTCTCTTTCTCCTGCTCATCCTTCACCTTCTTACCTTCTTCCCCCCTTCTCCCCCCTCCCCCTCCCTCTCCCCTTCCCATTTCTCTTCCCCAGGCTCTTTAAGAAGCTGCCTTGGATTTACATAGCCCCACCCAGCCAGTCCTTGAGCAGGCCCTTCCAGGACCCGCCCCTTCCAGGCCCTGAGTGGCTGGCCTTGGGCTGAATATTCAAATAGTCGCCAGGAGGGGAGGGGCCTGCGCTCTGAATGAGGTCTCTCTCTCTTTCCCTCACCCTGGCTAGTGCTGTTTGCAGAACAGAGACATGAGTTTGGGATGTGAGCGGCTAAGGATCCTGATGGAGTGGAGAGAGAGATAGAAAGCGAAGGAGACAGAGAAAGGGAGACAGCTAAAAAGAAAGGGACACTGAGAAGGGGGGAGGGAGACAGAGAAAGAGAGCGGCCAGACCCCTGCGCTGACCTGCAGCAGCATTTCCAGGCCAGCCTCGCTCTCCGCAAGGCCAGGGTCTTCCCCCCTTGGGCTGCTGCTTCCCTTTGCCTAGACAGGCAAGCCTCGGTGCCTCCAGCCCCCGGCCAGCTGGACGCTGTGCCCCAGGGTGGGTAGGATAGCTTCTTTGCTCAGAGCCTCCCGAAGGTGTTAACTTTTCGCCTGAAAGTGAGCGCAATTTGCTGCGGGAGCATGCGTGGCCTGGCCCGCTGGACGCTGCTGGTGGCGCTGGCCAGCTGGGGCCACGCGTTCGTCCCCCTGGCCGACTTCTACCCGTTCGGCTCGGAGGTGGGGGATGCTGTCACTCCGAAGCAGGATGACGGGGGGCTCAGGGCTGCTACCCATCTCTGTCCCGTTCCCGTTCTTCGGAGCGGGGCACACTGGCCTCTACGTAAGTAGCCACTTTCTTTGCTCTGGGGAAGGGGGTGGGGTGGGCGGCGGGTGCTCTAGCCGGCCCGGAGTGCTCGGAGCGGGGCACGACCAGCTGTCATCGCCAGCCGTCTGAGGAAGCATGCCCTGGTCCTGCGTGCCCCAGCCTGCCGCCGCTGGCCGAGTTGGGCGCATTTCGGAATTTGGCAGAGAGGCCCCGAGGCCAAAGGTAGGGTGAGGACAGTCTTCCTCCGAGCCGCCGGAGCCAGGCAAAGGAGGGACGCTTGTGCTGCCCGGGGAAGCGGGGAGCGCTCGGCTGCCACCAGTACTCCCGGAGGTGGCTGAGTGGGTGGAATGAGGCAAAGGGCAGCCGGGGAAGAGAGTGGCACCGGGGCGTGCCAGGCGCTGGGGAATGAGGGAGGAGGGGACCGGGCAGGGCAACTGGAAAGAGGGCTGGGCTCTGGCTTTTTTTAACTCCCAGGTGTGAATTTAGCCTTTGGTTGGGCGAGACTGGCAAGAGAACCCTAGGAAACAGGGAGGTGCCTGGGCAGAGGGGCTGGGACGTGTCTCTCCTTTCCCCCACCCCTCCCCGAGCTACCCCTGCCAGCGTAACTAGGAGGATGCTTTTGGGAAAGGGTGCAAGTCGTCTCCTTGAGCGTTTACACTCAGCCTCCACTTGGTAGGACTGCCGAGGCTGGAGCGGGTTCTGGGGCAGCGTGGGAGGTGCAGAGACCCGTTCCCCAGGAGCTGAACTGGACCTCACTTTGCATAGACTATGGACGAGAGGGAAGGTTTTCATGGGGGAGGGGGGAGCTGTGCCTTTCTTGAATTTCCAGGGACCGCTTAGTTTTTTCTCTTCCCCAGAGCTCTGATTGTTCTAAGCCCTGTTGTGATGGTAAAGGAAGGGGAGAGAGGGGATTGTAAAGCAGAGAAAAGTTTGGGAAAGAGGCCGGCATTAAAATAAAAAATCCCTTAACCTTGTTGATTTAAGTCAACATGTAAGGGCGACAGCGTGGTTGAGCCAACTGGCTTTGGAATGTGAGAACCTGAGTTCAAATCCTACCTCTGACCTTAGCAAGAGGGGGTGGAGAATGACCTCTGAGACCCCTTCTACCTCCCAATCTAAGAGCCTGATCATTAAGAGCCTGCTGTGTGCTAGGCCCTGGGGATCTCAAGACAGACCCGATGTTAGCCCGGCTCACAGACACTGTCTGTGAAGTGGCATATACACAAATAACCACCATGCAAAGGACAGTGAGGTACCTGAGAAGCGGAGACCCAGTCCAGGTGCTTTGAAGGAGAAATCATGCACCTGAGCTGGTCCTTGATGAGAAGGAAGGACTTCAACAGATGAAGGTTGGAGGAGAGGAGAGGAATCCATTCCAAGCACAGAGAATGGTGAAAGCAACAGTTCTGAGGGAGAAGAGAGTAGGGTGAAGAACAGGGCTCGAGGATTTACTTTAGGAAGGACCTTAGGGATCATCTTATCCTCATTTTATAGTGGGGAGATTAGAATTCAGCCCAGGAAAAGGACTTCTCCAAGGTCACCCAGGCAATAAAGAGCAGAGATTCCTGTGACCCTCAACCCAGCTCTTACCACTCTGCTGAGAAGAGAACAGGCCAACCTGTCTCACACGCATCATAAGTGAAGAGGCCAGAAAGGGAAATGGGAGCCAGATTATGAATGGACTTGAATGGCAGAATCAGCAGTTTATTCTTTACTGATCAAGCAATGGAGAGATATGAGTGTTTTCCCAGTAGAGCACCATGACCACAGTGAGAGGCAGCATGGCTTGGAAAGGGAAATAGTGTGGAGGTAGGAAGGCCCCTGGACAGCTACAGCCATAGTCCAGGTGAGACAAAGAAGAAGGGCTGGACTCAGGGGCTGGGTGCAGCAGGAATGGAGATGAGGACACAGATGGGAGCAATATTATAGACTGGGGTCAAAGATGAGGGAGAGAGAAGAGGCAAACAGACCCCAAGGTCCCCAACGAGAGTGGCTGAGATGGGGAGGAGTGCCACAGACAGGAGAGAAGGAGGAGACAGGGTGGGGATGGGGAGAAGAAAGACAACACAGAGGGGGGAGAGAACAAGAGAGGGAGGGAGACAGATTGGAGATGCATACAGCAAGAGAATGAGTGAAAGAATAAGCAGTGCTGAGGTGGGTGAGTTGGTTTTAGTGACCCTAGTGACTGTGATCAGGAAGTTCCCCAAAGCCCTTCCCCTCCTAGATTCTTGGCTCAGTGCTGATCCTGAGTCATTTCTGAGCAGTCTCCATCAGCCTAGAGTTGGTGGCCACAATGATTCCAAGGGCTGTAGAGTGAAAACTCCTTGAGGGCAGGGGTTGTTTCTCATGTTTGTCTTTTTATTCAGCATCTGGAGCAAGGCAGGTGGTTAATAAATGCTTGTTAAATTGAACTGAATTGACTATAGCCCTACCCCCTCCTCATGTTATATGGGAAAAGGGTTGCTCTCAGTCTGTCTCTCATTTCATTTTGATCATCCTCTCATTTGCAACTTTTTACATTAGCAAGAGATACAACTAAGGTGGAGTAAGCGGAGTTTTTTCCTAGGGCACTGACATCTGAAGGCCTGCTTCCTACCCCTACCCCTACACACCATGGCAACTCAGAGATTGTCATCCCCCCACCCATTATGGTTCTCGGCCAGTCTTGTGCCTTATGTCACCACCCCTGAGGTGCCCTAAAACTGATACTCCCATCCTGGGAAGCCTTCTCTCCCAAATCCTCCAGAAGCATGGGCAAGACTCTGGGGGACAAGTCATTGCCTCTTTCAATGTCCTCTATATCACTACTCAATCCCACTTGCAACTCCAGATGAAAGAATTCCTTATTATGGCCCTGATGAGGGTTAGTGGAGGCCTGAAAACCACCCTTCCTTAGGTCATGAGGACTTTGGAAGATGAGTGGGCTAGCTAGGATACTGGGATTTGTGAGGTCCTACCCAAAAGCATGGACAGTGGAGAGGGCCAGGAAGACTTGGGATCAACTTCCGCTCTGGCATTTAATAGCTGCATGACCTTGGACAAGTCACTTAATGGGCCTCTGCGTCCTCATCCGTAAAATCCGTAGACTCCATACACAGCCTCCAAGGTCCCTTCCAGTTCTAGATGGAGCATCCTCTGATCTCTTCTCCACTAATAGAAATTTAGGGGGAGCCCTTACCAGACCATGCTCCTGTCCCCTCCCCTCGCCCCCAACCAATGAGGGCCATTCTGCATATGACTCAGAGATTGGGCTGAGAAAGGCATTCTCCTTCCTCAGTAATTTGGTTCATTTGGCCATTCCTTTTCCCATGTGCCTCATGAGAGAGCCCCCCCACCTAGCGTGGGCACCAGTCTTGGCAGAAAACGCCTCACTTTGAGGAGAAGGGGACAGACGAGATTCCAGAGGGCAAGATGCCAAGTTAGAGGAGACGCTGCCCAGTGCTCCCCTCCAATGTGGCCAAGTAGAAGATGAGCTGTACCATAATCCTGGTTAAGGTCAGGAAATGCAACGAAGCTCCGCCACTTAGCCATCTGTCCAAGCAAAAGGAGGCATCCGTATGTTTTATGTCAGGAAAATGTTTTCCACGAGAGTGCACCATCTTGACAGCCAAAACATTTTGTGCAAATATTTGCAAACATTTGTGCCAGGGGGTACTTTCCTGTTGAGAGTCATGGGTGAAAATATTATGAAAACGCTTGGCAATCCTAACAGTGCAACCAAAAATACCTACAGCTGCCAAAACAGCCAGGGTGAACACTTCTAAAGTGGAAATATCTGCTGGCCAAACACGTGGTTTCAGCCTAAACTGACATGCTGGGGATTAACACAACACAGCCCAGGAAGAGTTTTTTCCTGAAACCAAGTTTTTATTTGAAAAGATCCTCGTGCCAATGCAGACAGCCTCGTAGTCTCTCCACCTCCTATTTGTTCAGTGGGAAAGAAATGAAATCCTTTAAGAATGGGCGCCCCAGGATACCTTTCCTGAAATCATTAGCAGGGATTGGTGGCCAAGTTAGACTTCGCAGAAGAAAAGCAAAAAAGGACGAAGGGATTGGATTGGTGTCAATGGAGAAATTGAGGTATTCATCAGGATGGATGTCCCAGAGTGGGGAACACAGCTCAGGCTGGGGCTTAGCTCATGCACCACCTCCTCCATGAAGCCTTCTCTGGTTTCCATCCCCTCCTCAACCCAAGCTGGTAGTTTTCTCTCCTCCATCTGATCTTGTAGCATTTCTTTTTTTTTTTTAATTTCTCTTATGCACTTACTTTATTCTATTTATGTACATGCCATCTCCCCTTCTCAAATGTAAGCTCCATAAGACTAAGGACTGTGTCTTATTTGCTTTTGTATCTTTCCAGCCCTAGGACAGTGGGTTGCACCTAAGAGCCACTTAACAGACTTTGGTGAACAAATGCTGTTGAAGGTGACTGTCAGCATACTTGGTACCATACTAAGCCTTTCTAACTACTCCCTAACTCTAGCAAATCCTGGGCAGGTTAGAGTTCTCTTTAAGCCCAGGATGCACAAGCTTCTCCTACCTCTTAGCCACCTAAGATCCTATTAGTTCCCTACCACACTAGTCTGATGACCCAATATAGTTAAGTAATATTTTAAATTCATTAATTAATGAAGAAAACCACTTGCCAACTACTGACGGTCTGCTAAGCAATGAGATACAAATATAAAATTCAGTTAATCTCTGCCCTGGAGGAGAGCAATATCGTAGACATTAAAAGCAGAGAGGGAGGGCTACGGGAAGGATGTACTGGGAAATATGGACAAGGACCAGAAGGGCGGAGGGGCATGTTCTGCGACAGGGGAGGCAGAACCCGTAGGGCACAGTCTGGACGCGTCCAGGAAAGGGTGTGTGCTACGTGTGTGCGCGCACGCGTGTGTGGTGAGCACATATGGGGCAGATTAGCACACACACACCAAAAGGCAGTGTTCAGAGCACCGGGCTTGGGGCCAGGAAGACCTCAGTTCAAGTCCTGACTGCTGGGCAGTCACTCCCCC